CAGCGCAGCTCTCTGGCTCAGCGCTCCGCCCCTCACAATAGCGCACAAGTGCACCAGCACTTCCACACATCATGTGAATGAGCAATCTGCCCAATGAGGAGGCTGGCCAGTCCTTATATTGTCTTGGACCGAGCTTCAGTTCGTGCGAGCCTCTGCTTCTTGGGGATTGACTTGGTTCCGGTACCACATCCCCACGGCCTGTCTGCTTTCGAATGTCAGGGCCTGGAACCTTCCCGAATTTTCATTGGTGTGCTGCTGCTTGGGCCTTTGAGTCACGACATTTCGATTATGACACACGGTTTTGACTGTGGACTGTGACTCCTGCCTCTGGGTCACGACTCTTGCCTATGGATTTGCCCTTTGTTCATTGGATGTGACTTTCCAACGTGACTTTTCATTATGAGACATGATTTTGCCCCTAAGATGTGACTGTTTGCCGGGTGCCTGTTGGACTTGACTGCTAAGGTACCCGACTGTGACTTTTCTGAAACTGACTGACTCGGCCTTTCTTGGCCAGGGCCTCTGACCCTGAAACTCGAATTTGGGGTCTGAATTGTGGAAGGCCTTTCAAAAAGCTGGTCAAGTCTATGATGGACCTGATGGTATCTTTTCTTTTCTTTTCTTTTCTTTTCTTTTCTTTTCTTTTTTTTTTTTCTTTTCCTATGATGGTATCTCAAGGTTGTCACCCTTTAAATTAAATAGAATAGAATAAAAGAAGTAGACGAGAAGAAGAAGAAGAAGAAAGGAGGAGGAGGAAGAAGGAAGGGATATAACAGATGTATTCTGCTCAAGGTTAGTTGCTCAAGAGGAAGAAGAAACTGTTTCATTGTTGGATTCGCGCACATCCAACAAGTGTGCTTCATTGTGAGCAACGCAGAGGTGGAGCTGGTTCGATTTTGTGGCGTCTACTCATCTGTTGTGGAGAAAATTTAAACCACACACACAGTCACAGACAAATGGGGCTGTGGGTCTGCACCTTGTTGGTGTGTTGGTATAACGTTTCAAATTTCAATACTTTTTTGTATGTTTCATCTGCTTGCTTGCAGAGTGTGAAATGGTGGCAGGGGCCAAAGTACTTTTACAGCGTCGTTCACCGAGCTCACGTTCCGACCAACCCGCTACCTCCGCGGCCACCATCGTCAAAATCTCTTATGGAGAACAGCAAGCCTAGGGTTTACGACATCAAGCCAAGGACATCAATCGGGAAGTTGATTGCTCAGCAACAGGCGATGGCACGGCCGGCAGAGGGAGAGGTAGGTACTCGTAGAGTCAACGCGCCTGCTTCAGGCGTTTTGGGGCAGAAGTCGGCGGGGACGGCAGGTGGAGGGGGGACGCAGCAGCACTCGGTTCACAAGGGGAATGCGGCGGCCGATGCGAGGGCAAGCGGAGCTGCTGCGAGGAAGGACTCGACAAGAGCGGCCCACCCCCTCTCAGGCGGCGAAAAGAAGAGCCCCAACTACCCCTCCCCACCAGACGGGAAAGACGGAAGTGAGGTGAAGGAGAGTGCCGCCATAGCCACTGGTCTGGACGACAGGAAAACGCGTGAGCCGCTTCAGGCTTGGCTGGGTCACGATGAAGGAACCGAGAGAGGAGGAGGAGGAGTTATGAAGGCCACACTGTCTTCCAGAACATCTGTTCTTGGGAGACAGAGTACAATAGGGATGTCCGGTTTCCCGTCGACAGAGAGACGGACGCAACCCAGAGCGGCACCATCAGCCATCGTAGATCAGACTCACAAACAGAATGAGGGTGCTGTAGGAGCAGCGGCGGGGTCATCACCAACCTTGCTCATGGCGGAGAAGACTTCTTCTCAGCAAGCCATGTCCATGTCTAGAGGGGCAACGCAGGCCGATCCAAAAGCTGCTCAACAACTGGTAAGTTGATTTTTTTAACTCTATCCCTCCCACCCCCCGCCCCGGGTGGTGAGCATTATGTGCCCTGCCGCTCTTTTTTTTTTAATGTTGTGCAACGCAAAGGGTCCAGCACAGCAGGCAAGCCTACTCACATGACTCCTCCTTGGCCCTGAAAAATTAGACTCATAATTTGATTATCATTTGCGGCCCGCCGGGCCCGGTGGACCACGGATCCGATATGGAATTGATCGGAACAGATACCACACTGATACTAGTCAGACGGCCCGAAAAGGTATTTAAGGCTGCTTTTTACCAACCGGGCTGCCTGGGTCACCTTTTGGTTGCCCCGGACCGGGCAAGGGGCAGGGAAGATCCGTGGAAGAAAAAAAAATCCAAAAAATCCGAAAAACAAACTATGCTCAATAGTATGTTGTGAAGAAAATAAACTGGACAACTTTTGCGTCAGGGTGAAATCGAAATAAAACGGTTTTCACCTGTTAGCAGTAGCGAATGCAGATCCCAGGGCTCGATCTCTAGTTCTCACCTTACCTGTGTACAATATCGAGTTGACCCCTGAGTGTTTGAACCCGTGACCTGTGTTTTGTTAGTTGTTGTTTGTCTGTCGTAGGTCTGTGTAGTGGTAGGGGTTCGATCTGTAGATCTGTCAAGTAGGAGTTCCAGCTCTGTAGAGGTCGTAGCTATAGGTATTCTGAAAGGTCAAGGTCGTAGCTGCTACAGTCCCGAAAGGTCAAGGTCGTAGCTGCTACAGTACCCGAAAGGCCAAGTCCACAGACTTCCGGAAGGTCCCGGAAGTGGCCTTTCGGAGTGGGCTCACGTTTAGATAGAGGCAAGTGGGCAAGTGGTGGAGCCAACCTCAGTGCGTTGGCAGTGCGACTGCAGTGAGTCTGCGGTGCAAACCCATGCAGTCAACGGTACCGGTCCAGTCAGTCCCAGTCAGTCCAGCAAGTACCGTGAGGGACTGTGTGCACCATGGGCCAATGGAAAAGGGCAGACCAGCGAGTTACAGAAGTATAAATCAAGAGGCAGCGCCCAGCCATTCATTCATTCCTGCGTGAGCCATGCGGAAGCGCTGCCATAGCGACTTGTGCGAGGTGGTCTGCAGTGAGCCCGAGGACGAAGTGGGCGAGAAGGAAGTTAGTCATAGCGATAGGGTAGCAGCGGCCATAGCCGCCATAGTTGTAGGTGTGTGCGGGTGTATGCGAGTGTACAGGGTGTTGCGTGTGGGATATCCAGGGTGATCCGGTGTGTGAACAGCAGCGTTGTGTGAGTGACGAACAGAGATTTGTATAGGCGCCCATGCGCCATAGCCATCTGAAGTGAGATCGTGTCTGAACTGTGTTCTTGGTTACCATATCTCTGAGTTTTGGAGTGGGCGCTTGTCGCCAGTTTGCTGCGCAACCTGTTTGCATGCATGTGAAGTGTGAATGGAAGCGAGTCTGATTCCAGAAATGCTTTGCGAAATTCAAAATAAATTTAATAAAAAATATAGAAAAATAAAATTAGAGCGGACAGATGCGCCCCAGAACAGGGGCGTGGTCCCACTAGAAAAGAGGATCGGATCGGATGCCTGCATCTGGACGAGTTTATGGAGATGTGCAGGAAATCGAGATTGAACTGCTTTTCTGCGTCTCTGCATAAAACACATCCAGATTCAGGCATTCGATCGGATCCTCTTTGTTAGTGGGACCACGGCCCAGGAGGAGCTTGTCTAAGTGTCTTATTAGAAAAAGTAAAAAATAAAATAAAATAATTAAGATTTATTTATTTATTTTTTTTTTTTTTGGCCCAGCCAGCACCTGGTCCGTATTTTCAACAGTTCAGTGGTGTACCAACTGAGCTAGGCAGGTTGGTAGGTGTATTTTACAATTTTCTAATTATTTTCAAATATTTTATTATTTTGTACATTTAATCTTTTTGTTTTGTTTTGTTTTTTTTAATTCCCCCCTCAGGCAAGTCGTCATACCAACAGCTGCATGAGAAAGAGCCAGAGAGGCATCACTGTCCAAATTTGTGCAAGGATCCCTGGGAAATGGAAAACTGGGGTCTGTGACAGGCACTAGGCTATAATGTGTTTGCCGAACAGGCGAGCGAGCAGTACAGCCCACGAGCTCAACGGGGCAAGCTCGGGCACAACCCAGTGAATCCTCCTTTCGGGCGGCTACCGTCTTCACCCGAACACAACGACCGGTCATTTTAGCCGTATTTGGGGCAACCTTCAGTCCACATACATCTATAATGAGAGGGCGTTCTATTCGGGTGAAGACGGTAGCCTAACCTCGGACTGAGCCGATAATTGGTAAGGCCCGTCTGCAGAGACCAACGAGCCCCTCCTCGAGGGGAGCCCCTGAGGTCGCCAGGCAATTGCCTGGGTTCGGTTGTCCATCCGTCCGCTGGTGAAGCTGGGTGATCAAGTGCCCGGGAGTATCCTGGGGGTTCTGAGCCACATGGCGCTGACACTGACGTCAGGGATCCCTTGGGGGGGGTACCACGTGGTCTCTTCAGGGGGTGGGAGTAGGTCTTGATTTTCTTCTTGTAGAAGGGGGGCGGGGGGGAAGGGGGGAGGGGAGGGGGGTTAGAGGGGCCTGTCTGGGCACAGAAACTTCATCAGGCTTACTCAAGCAGGGGTGAGGGGCGTCCCAACCACAATGGGGAGGAGCGTTGCGTGAGTAGAACTTGTTGTCCTGTTGACTTGCTGTTGGAAAAAGTGGGCGACGGACTGGTGCTCTGCAGAGTGGGAGGAGCCGCGGTTTTCGAAAGAAGAAAAGACAAAAAACAACACAGCTGCAACTCGCCCAGCTCAGTTGCTTCACCCTTGAACTGTGGAAATGCAGACCTGAGTTCGAACTCCAGATGAGTAAAACACTACAATGCTTCTGAATTACCTAGGGCCGGTCAGCTCAAGGAGGATATCTCAAAGCTATCGCCCTTCTTAAAACGAAGAAAAACGAAAAGAAAAGGCAAATTTGCAACAGTGTGGGATGTTCCCTCAGCCCTTTGCTCCGAATCGAAAACACATGGCGCTTTTAATGACCAGATGATGGGTTCGGAATGCTCTCGTGCTAGTCTTGTGAATGATCCTGTTGTACAGGGACGCAGAGCCCGTTTTCCGAACCCATCATCAGGTGGAGGCCAGGGGGACTCACCTGATGACTTACCTCTGTGTGTGTGTGTGTGTGTGTGTGTGTG